GGTTGAGGAAGTGATAACCATTCTGGGCTCCACATTTAAGGGCTGTTGACAAACTGGCGCCTGCCCAAATGGCGGCCTTTAGCCGACTGGATTCACTTACATGTTCCATTCATTCTGCTTAGAAATGCCAGATACAGTATGCACCTAAAGTAAAATAAATAAATTTTAAAAAGAATGGATTATAAATTGCTGCTCTGGGAAACAGTGCAGGTCAGGAGGTGGCTGGATGCTTAGAGGCAAAGTCTAGGGGGCACATCACTTGGGCTCCATCACCTCATCATCTCCAATGCAGAATGGCTCACAGATCTGTAGTTATCTAGAATCCTCCTGGCTGCAGGAGCCACAAGCTCAGAAGGCTACTAGGTTAGGCAGGCAACTTCAACGTCAAGGGCGGATAGCTAAGGGATTAGGGGAAAACTGGAGGCTGAAAGCCTTTCCATGCCTCTTAGAACAAACCAAACATATTAAGACATGGACAAGAAGGGAGAGGGCTGAGGCTCAAACGCTGCCCACTTCCCTGTGTTCATTTTCTTATTCCTCAGTCATGGCTGCACGGTCAGAACACCAGATATGAGGCCTTGGCCAGATGAACTATTTCTCTTTTTAAAGTTATTTTTAGAAAAAAAAAATTCAACTGGGTAGACATGAGTGGCCTCCAAAAGATTTTCTTTCGTTTCTGAGTCAGGTTCAGCCTCACTGGGCTCAGCTTTCAATTTCTGTTGCCTTGCTGTTCCCTGGGCATTCAGAGGTCCTCTGGTGATGCCCCTCCATGTCAAGAGCCCCCCCAAATTAAGCTGAATGACTACAGATAAGTTTTTGGTACTTTCCAAAATTAAACTATTTCCCTTGGTAAATTTCCAGCAAATGAGCTCATTAATCTGAAAACAGGATGTGGCACATGAAGAGAGTGAGGTCAGACTGCCTGCTCTTTTCACTTATGCTGGCTTAGGGCAGAGAGGAAGGGGTGGGTGGGACAGAAGAGAGTGGCTTTTATAGGCCCCAAATCCTTGAGAAACTTTTCTTCAAAAGGCCCCTGTGCAGTGTGCCCACCTTTGGAAGAGTCTTTGTTTCCAGAGTCCATGAAGCAAAGAATGGCCCCACAGAAAAACCAGTCTCTCAGAACAGGACACATGGGTAGCTACAGATGGCAAAGAGAGGCAGCAAGCTGGCTACTATTAATGTCTTCCTCATGATTGGCATCTTAGAGCATGTCCCTATCAAAGGGTCCATCTGCCAAGCTCTTCCACGGAACCACATTACCTGATCATGAGTGTCATTAGCACTTCCATCAGAAACTGAAATCCCCATTGCACCTTCAAAGTGGCCAGTCCCATAAGCAACTAGAAAAACCTCGGAGATTGCTTGTGCCTAGAATTCAAATAACTTCAGAGTTGCTTTGCTTCTTTTTTAAAAATATGGACGTCTGTTGCGTTAGGGAAAAATCACTAGACTTAGGAACTCCCTTCAACAAACAACCCCAGATATCTTTCCACATTTTTGCTAGAATGTTATTTCTAACTTCACAATACCCAGGAAAAGGCAAGGTCAATGACACATAAATGTCTTCTGATGATGGGAAAACCATCAGACTAATTGACTCAGAGTCCATTAATTTTTAATTGAGACACTTAACTCTTTGAACCCTTTTCACAGAGGCCACATCTGGTCAACCTCCCATAGATTGCAGAAATTCTCTCTTAGAGGCCCTTGAGATCCTCTGCTTGTCCACAAGTAGCATCTTTCTCCCAGGTGGGCCCCCCTGAGGTCCCACTTTCACTAGAGTACCCTGGGTCCTGCAGCTTCAGCCTGTGTAGCGGAAGTTGGAGGACAGCACTTCTGCCTCCAATAAGAGACATACAGTCATGCCAGGTTAAAAAACACACAAGTAAAAGACAGTTCCCTGCTCTTACAATCCAGTTGAGAGTCAAGACATAAAAAGGGATCCTAACACATATAGAGATTTAACAGGTGCCTTTGAGGTTAAAACCAAGCCAACAAGGTGGGCAGCCTCGCCCCTCCCTCCATCAGTCCTACTAAGATAAGACGTCTGACAGAGAAGGGGCCTTTGTCAAATTGGTAGTTTACAAAAATAAAGGTCGTTTGTAGCTTTTAAACTAAAATTCTACCCCAACACTAAGTTCCATCACTATTTTGATTACTATATATTCATAAGGACTTAGCGACTGTGTGTGTGTTTAAATGAAACCAGAAACGGTTCCTTAAAATACCCGGTTTGTAAAAGCACAGTGCCTGGAACCCCTTAGTACCATCACTTTACTGATTGTGTTGTGGAAATTTGAGCAGAGAAGAACAGAGCGATCAAGAGACACGAGAGAAAGTCTTTATTGGAGCTCTGGCTGACAGTGGCCTTACTGCTAGTAATGGCCGCCAGCCTCAAGCAAAGAAAATACCTTGCTTATATATTTTCTCTGCGGGGAAGACAAGGCAGGAAATAGGCTTAAACAAAGACAGTTAATCATTGACATGTGACACGTTTTACAACCTTGAGAAAACATACATTGTCTACTTGGTTATTACGTTCCCAGGTCTTGTGGGGAGGAAAAACAGGATTTTACAGAAATATGCTTGTGGGCTGCAGGTATAAAGATATGCTTGGATGTCTTATAACCAAAGGAGGAGACCGTGCTGGGTCTGCGTTTTATCTAAACACGGTTTACAACTTAGCCTGGAATGTAAGATAAGCTCGGCAGCTGCGAGCCATCTAAACTAAGCTAGGGGAGGCTGCTTGCTCCTTTGCTCACTAGGATAATTTCTGAGACTTTGGTTCAAAGTTTATTATTTATTAATATTTTATATTTATTTTCCTCCTCAATTGCTCCAACCCAGTAAGCTTGGGCCAGCCTGGCACTGTGCTAGGATCTCTGGAGAAATCCAAGAAGGGTAAGACTCGGGTTCTGCTACTCTTCTTCACCTTTTCACCACTGGGATTTCGGGCAGGCAAGGGGACCAGGGTGGGGACTCCAATTCCCGGTTTGTGTTTGTATTTTCAGGGGGCATTTTACCGAGCACCAGGTGCCGGAAGCCCCTCACGCAGAGGAGCGGCGTCCATGCGTGTCAGTTCACCGTGGGCACACAGTGCCCGTGGCGCCGCAGACCTGGGCCTCAGCCTCAGTTTCCCCGCATGGGGATCGCTCGCCCCGCCCCGGGGCGGCCCAGGGAGCAGCCCCCGGCCCCGGCCCTGCCTCCCGGGTTTCCGCCTGCGCGGCTGCGGCCCCCACACCCCACTGGAAGCTCCCGGCGGGGCGGCGGGGAGGCGGTGGCAGAGGCGGCGCCGAGGTTGCTGGCCCTGCACCCCGGCGCCGGAACCGTAGGGCGGCTCCCGGCCCCCTTCCTCGCCCTGGACGCCCCGCTCCAGCTCGCGCTCGCTGAGGCGGGGACTCCCCGGGCGCGGCCGGGGACCGGGAACCTCGGCTGCGGAGCCCGCCCCGGACTCACTGTGCCCAGCCCCGCCCCGGGCGCTCCTTCCTCCTCCGCGGGCTCCGGCGCTGCCCGTCTCGCAGCGCTGCGCTCGCAGCTGGGTTTGTGGAGGTGGCGACGCGGCAGTCGCCGCCCTTGGGCAGACTCACGGACGGGGCTGGGGACTCAGACGGGCAACCGGGCCTGCGGAGCCGGGCGGCCGGGGTTGTGCTGGCGCCGGCGGGCGCGAGGAATCACAGAGCGGGGCGCCCAGCCTCATCTCGGGGCGGCCCACGGAGACTTCCCAGGGGAGTTGGGTCTGGTGCAGGGGCGCTCCGAAGGACGAGTGGGAAATGGGGACACGCGACGCAAAGACTCCTCGTGGATGGAGCCGATGGAGGCTCAGCATGGAAGAGAAAGGGGTCAAGGAGACCGATAAGAAGCCACCAGAGGCACGGGAGAATTCCCCGCAGAGGGTGCGGGAAGCCGGGGAAAGGAAGGGATTCCGAAGGAAGGGCTGGGACCCGGGTCAGGTGCCGGCAGGAGGGCTGGTTGGATAGAAACTGGGACAGGCCCAGTGCATTTGGAGTACTCAACATTCGTATAAACTTGGAAAGATGGTTCCCTGGCGATCCAGGTGCCTGTATAGACAATATTTTCTAGAAGTTCTACCGTTAAGTGAGGAGAGAGAGTCGATGTGGAAATCGGAGACGAGCGTAAAGAGTGCTTTGAAAGCAGGCGTGGGTAGAGGACTGGCGCTGGGTTCAGGAGGCCCCACTCACTAGCTGTGAGATCTTGAGCAGGTCACTTAACCTCTCTGTGCCTCGGTTTTCTCATCTGTAGGACGGGGATGATGATGGCAATACTTGCTTCACAGAGTGAAAATTAGATGAGATGATGTCCATAAAATTACATAACACAGCACCCAAAAGTAGTACTAGTTATTTTTACCTTTTCTTATTAGAGCAGCTTGGGCACATTTTGATGACCGTGGGAATGAGCAGGTAGAGGGTGGTACTGAGGCCAAAGGAGAGAGAAGAGACCCAAAGATGGCGAGATAAGTCTTGGGTGCCTGCTCCCAAACCAGGGGAAGGAGGGAACAGGTAGGGCTGCAGGAAAGTTTGAGGGTGTGGGGTACACAGTTAAAGGGAGTGTCTTCTGATAGTCTTGGTGCAGGTCTGGAGGTCGTTTGCTATACGGGTGGAGGTTCTGATGTACACTGCGGCCATAAGATGCCGTGCGTGCCCTCTTTGCCACCAGCCTGTGTCTGCCCCGGTATTACGCCATGGCAGGTGGGCAATTTAATTTATCTCAGGTCAGATGACCTGCCCTGCCAACCTTTGAGCCTCCAGCTGAGAGACGTGAAAACACAGTATAAGCATAACACACCACTCTAATCCTTTTCTCTGAGGACCTGGAAGGGCTGTAGTCATCATCTGAGCCAAATGTCAAAGCCTTTCAAGTACTTCAGTTGGGCTACACACCACACCACACTTTGATCCACCACCTCATTTAGTCATCACAACAATTGGGTGAAATAGGTATGATTGTCTCATTTTACAGATGCAGAATATGAGCTTCAGGGAAGTTAAGAGGACCTTGTCCCAGGGGCCACTGTCAGTAAGTGGTGGACCAAGAATCCCAACTCAGCTCTGTCTGACCTTCAAACCCATGATTTGAAACCATCATGAAACTTTGCAAAACCTGTGTATCAGCCCAGCAGGATGGAAAGATGTGTAGGGACCATCTTCTCCATTTGAGAGATGAAACAGGAGCTGCGTACTGTCATCTCCATCCCAGGCACACAGAGCTTGGGGCCCCACAGCCCTGGTGTGAATCCCACTCCACCACCAAAGGAGCTGTGTGCCTTTGGATCAGGCGTCTTGCTTCTCTGACCGTATATACGGCTGCAGAAGAATTCCTTGCCCGTAAACTGCTGCCCAGCACACAGTAGACATGCAGGAGCCATCGTTCTCAAGCTGAACTTTTCCTGCGAACGTGGATCTTGTATTTGTTTCGTGCTTTGTTCTCCTTGAGGCAGCGACGTGGTGGCGCCTGACCTGAGCATGTAGCCACCTATGACTTCCTGAGTGGGGTGATCGGGGAGGGCCCTCAGGAGTCTGTGGTCCTAAGGCCTTGGATTTCAAAGGTGAGTCATGGTGTCACTGTGACTGTTCAGAATGCCATAAGGCGTTGGGTCATCAGAGGCCTTCCTGCTCCTTCTGGTTGCCTCAGTCCCAGGAGAGATAGGGTCCCAGAATTTTAGAGCCCAGAGGCCACCTGTTGCAACTTCTTTTTTACAGAATGGGTCATCCAAACCCACTATGAGGAAGTGACTTCTCCTTGAGGTTACCCAGACACTGAACAGAGCAGAGTAAAAGCGCCTACAACTTAAACTTTTGGACCTGCCTCCAACACCCTGGGGATTTCCACTAGGAAGGTGAGCACCCCCACTGAGAATTCCAGGCTGCTCGAAGGTGCCAGGAAACACAGACCAGGGGCCAGCTGTGGCACCCTCCTCCAACGTGCCCAGGGAGGTGGGGAAGGCAGCGGTAGCCTGTGATTCTCAGCCAGGGGAACTCTCACTGTGCATTCTGAGAGTCTGTGACATGGTTCATTTTCTCTGACTTGCTCTCTTGTTTTTTCTCACTCTAAAATAAAAAATGACTGGACACTCCTAAAGCCTTCAGTCACCATCCAGGGGATTTTTATCACCACAAAGGGTAATTCCTGCTCCATCCCTGCTGTGACTCAGCTATGACGTTGAACCACACAAGCCAGAGAGAAGAAGATAAAGTCATCAGTGACTCCTACTCACCAGAGAGCGAAGCCCAGGGCAGGACTCCACAGAGCTGGTCCTCTGCCCTGGAGGAACTTAGACGGATTTTCTCTGGCCAGCCTGGAATCCTGAGATGGCCTCCAGCTCAGGCAGCAGCCCCCGCCCGGCCCCTGATGAGAATGAGTTTCCCTTTGGGTGCCCTCCCACCGTCTGCCCGGACCCAAAGGAACCCAGGGCTCTCTGCTGCACAGCCTGTCTCTCTGAGAACCTGAGGTGAGGTGATAGAGGAGCAGAGGGTGGGCAGAAAGTGGGTGCCAGGAGGGACCCTGATGGAGGGTGATGGGCCGAGGAGCCTGCAACCTCAGGCAGGTGACTTTACTTGTCTAGGCCTCCGTTTCCACACCTTTTCTCACACTCCCTGACACTGCCCTTCTGGAGAGGAAGCCACAGAAAGGCGCCGGTTCCCACCTATTTTACAAATGAGGACACTGAGGCCTAACAGAGAGATCAGGTCAGCTTTGGACAGTTTCCTGGCAAATAGGCCCTTAAACTGCCTCATGTGATGACCTTTTGTTTGGGGTTTTATAGCTTAAGAAGGTGGGAAAGCTGAATCAGGCAAGTGAGAAGTTCAAATATGTCAGCAAAGAAGGCTGTGAGATAGCGAAGAGAGGCTGTGGTAGTGGCAAGGCCAGCCGGGGGGCAGAGGAGCAGAGCTTGACTGGTTTTACCACCAAGCTCGGGCTCTGATGGTGGGCCTCCTGGTTTCCCCTTTCCATCCTTCCAAAACCTGGCAGAGGAGGGAGCTGATTGGAAGTTGGAAGGCCGAGGCCTGAGGCCTAAGTCCTGAAGAACTTCTACTCAGCTCTGCTCCTGACTCACTCTACCTTGGAATCCACATGCCCTCTGGGACCTCATTCCCTCACTTGTAAAATGGACTATCTCAGTATCGGGTCAGAGACACCAGGAGCTTTGTAAAAACACAGGTGCTGGCCGGGCACAGTGGCTCACGCCTATAACCCGAGCATTGGCAGGCCGAGGCGAGAGGATCACTTGAGGTCAGAAGTTTGAGACCAGCGTGGCCAACAAGGTGAAACCTCATCTCTACTAAAAATACAAAAATTAGCTGGGCCTGGTGGTGCACACTTGTAATCCCAGCTACTCGGGAGGCTAAGGCACAAGAATCGCTTGAACCAGGGGGCAGAGGTTGCAGTGAGCTGAGATCACACCACTGCACTCTAGCCTGGGTGACAGAGTGAGATCCTGTCTGAGAAAATAAAAACCCCAAAACAAACAAAAAAAACCACGGGCACCCAGATGTCACCTGTTAGAATCTGACACCCACTCCTGATTAAGAACCTCCAGACCAGCTGGTCTCTGAGGCCCCTTCTTGTTCTAATAGGCCATGATCCTCTGTTAATTACTAAAAATATGAGACCAAAAGCAAATGGAGGACCAAATGAGAAGAGCAAATATAGTCACATGTCAATCTCTTGCCTAAATCCCGGGCATCAGATGTGTTTTGGAATTCAGAATTTTTTTAGAAAAGCAAATCAGGGCATCACCTAATTCTTCTGGCAGGGAAGGGGGCAGCACCTTGTAATCAAGCACATTCATGTTTCTGCAATGAAACCTGTAAATATTCACACTAAGCAGGACAGGTAAGGGCTATAATAGCTTCCGGTCAGTGCAGTCAGGGCAGGTTTGGCAGCCCAGGAAGCTCACTGCAAACCACTGAAAAACATGGGATGCTCAGCACTTTTGCGATTTAGGAACTGGCTCTGTGATTGTGAACGTACGCGATCACCACCTGCTGACGCTTCAGGCTTCTGGAGCTGTCAGGAGAGTGGGTGGTGCAGGGAGCTAGAGAGCATCACTCCAGGACTTCATCCCTGTTTCCCCAGAAATGGCGAGGATCGGATCTGCCCCAAATGCAGAGGGGAAGACCTCCAGTCTATAAGCCCGGGAAGCCGGCTTCGCACTCAGGAGAAGGTATGTTGGCCCATCACAGAAAAGTATTTGTCCATTGTCTTGATTTTTCCAGCTTGAGGCTGAGCAGACAACTGCCTGCTCCACCGCTGGCAGGCACCTCCCTCCATGTTCTGAGTCTGAACTGAATTTGCTTTATAAGGAGTGAGGAAACTGATGTTCACAGTGGTGAAGCGTCTTGCCCAAAGCCACCTGGCAATAGACTTAGGGTGACAGCAATCCAGTCCAGGGTCCACAAACTATGGCTTATGGGCTACCTCTAGCCTACCACCTGAGCAACGAGCTAAGAATGGTTTTTATGTTTTCAAATGGTTGAAAAAATCAAAAGAATGATAGGCCATGCGTACTGACCTGTAATTTCTCGAGGCGCGGTGAGGCTACTCTCTCACTGTGTGGTCTGGTGCACTGCTGATGTTCCCAAGCCACAGCTAGCTTGTCTGTAAATATGTTTTCTGCATCGCAGAATTGTTATGAGGCCTAATTAATAATCATCAAAAAAGTTCTTATAATAACAAATATAAACCCCTTGGTAAATGACAAACTGTTACCGAATTACATGCCTATAATTCTGAAGTGTTAGAATTCAAATTACATAGAATTACATACCTGTGGCCAGGCATGATGGCTCATGCCTGTAATCCCAGTTCTTTGGGAGGCTGAGGCAGGTGGATCACAAGGTCAAGAGATTGAGACCATCCTAGCCAACATTGTGAAACCCCGTCTCTACTAAAAATATAAAAATTAGCTGGACGTGGTGGCACACACCTGTAGTCCCAGCTACTTGGGAGACTGAGGCAGGAGAATCACTTGAACCTGGGAGGTGGAGGTTGCAGTGAGCCGACACCAAGCCACTGCACTCCAGCCTGGCAACGTAGCAAGACTCCATCTCAAAAAAAAAAAAAAAGAATTACATGCTTGTAACTCTCACACTTTGAGAAGCTGAGGTAGGCAGATAGCTTGGGCCCAGAAGTCTGATACTAACCTGGACAATATGGTAAAGCCCCACCTTTAAAAAAAAAAATACAAAAACTAGCCTGGCGGGGGGATACATGCCTGTAGTTCCAGTTAATCTGGAGGCTGAGGTGGGAGAATCACCTGAGCCCGGGAAAGTTGAGGCTGTAGCGAGCCATGATCATGCCCCGACACTCCAGCCTGGGCAGCAGAATAAGGCCCTGTCTCAAAAAATAAAAAAAGATATTTGGGGACACATGAAAATTATATAAAATTAAGTACTTGTAGCAGAGACCTCAAAGCCCAAAATATTTACGTCCCGCCCTTTACAAAAATACTTAGCAAACTCCTCGTGTAGATGGTTCTGTCTGCCTCTGTTTGCCCTTAGGCAGGGAGAGACCATGGTCAGCTCACCTCTTGGGCTTTGCCAAACTGCGCTTCTAGGGATAAGAGACACCTTTAGAAGTGTGATCGACCAGAGAAACATTTTCAGGAGCTACAATTTAGAACCCTGGTCCTCCCCAGCTGGAAGGACCCTCATAGGTTACATGTCCAGCTCAGAGGTTCCCACGTGTTATCCAGGACTGATCCATTCCCATCAGCTCATGACAAAATGATAAAAATAAGGCAATTAGGCCGGCCGTGGTGGCTCACGCCCATAATCTCAGCACTTTGGGAAGCCGAAGCAGGCCAGATCATGAGGTCAAGAGATTGAGACCATCCTGGCCAACATGGTGATACCCCGTCTCTACTAAAAATACAAAAATTAGCCAGGCAGGGTGGCACGCACCTGTAGTCCCAGCTACTTGGGAGGCTGAGGTGGAAGAATCGCTTGAACCCAGGAGGCGGAGGTTACAATGATCTAGATTGTGCCACTGCACTCCAGCCTGGAGACAGAGCAAGACTCCTTCTCAAAAAATATAGATAAACAAGGCAATTATATAAATGAGTTTATGTAAACTAAATTCTTTCCATTTATAAAATCGACTTTACTCTGAGATTCTGTCCATCCTATAAATGTCTTTGTATAAATGAAAGAATGTAAATGTAGATGATAGTTTTTGGTAAAGCCTTTACTAAGTAAAATTAAAAAGATAGCAATCTCTTTGTTAATCTCTCAGTTTAAAAAAACACACTTGTATTGGTCCATGAATCCAAACAGGCAGGAGTTGCTGCTCAAAATCAAATCCTCTTGTTTACACATGGGGCCCTGAGACCCACAGAGGAGTCTCAGTGCCCAGCCACCCTCTCTACCTCCACTGTAAGGTGCCTGGCTCCTTTCAGCCAAAGCCCTCTTCTTGCAGTAAAGTGTGGCCCAGGGATCAGGTTGTGCCCAGCGTCCAGGTTGTGCATAACTCTCTGCTTGGGTGGAGGCGACTCCCAGGCCCTGTTTCTGCATCTATAAAATGAGGATATTAAGTTGGCTCTGCAAAGCCTTTCCAGGATCTGTGATGTCCAGATCACAGTAGCAGTGCCGGCGAGGCAGCTATCCCCCTACCTTGGACCAGAGGCAGGCGAGTGTCCACACCTCCTTCTCCTTTCTCTGACCTGGTCCTTCTCATTCAGAAGGTTCAGGGGAATTTCCTGTCCCACCCAGAGCTGGTTTTGAGCACTCTCCCATCTGCTTTTCAGCAGCCCCTCCATCCGCAGGTTCCTCAGGGAGTAAGAGTAAGGATCAAATGCGTGTTCTTGGAACTTTCCACTCTGCAACGTGGTAAGAGTTAATATGATACACCGATTGGTGGAGTAACTCCCTGACCCTCCCTGTTTGGCTTTTGGTGGACTGGCTGTGAGACACAGACAGACCCTCAGCTCTCTGTGGGCCACTGTCCCCACTTGCAAAAGGCCCTTACCTGCTTAAATGCTCTAGGATTATTGTTTTTAGCTTGTATTATTCTTTCCTCTTAACAAAATTAATATACATTTGTTGTGTAAATCTTAGCTAACATAGATATATTAATACCTCTTAATCCAATGGCTTTTTTTTTTCATCTTTTTCAATCAGATGAAAGTAGAAGTATTCTGATGGAGGGGGAGCCTGGAGCTCCCACCTGTCAATTGCTCCATTTAACAATTAAGGGGTTCTGGAGACTCCTAGGGCCCTGCAGGGCACAGTTTGAAACTTGCTGCCTTAAGCCAAATGAAGGGACTTTAATGGTAGAATTACAGGCACCGTGACGGGCCATGGGATGGGAGAGGAAGCTGCCTATATTTGGTAGCAAAGAAGTCTTCTTGAATGCAGGCAGACCTCTGAGAGACATTAGCCCCCTCCCCTCTCTGCAAAGTGGCTTCCCCACCTTGCAGAGTCACCATTGTACTCGGGTGAAAAGCTGGGGTGGGGTGGTAGTCATGATCTGATCACCTACACAAAGCCACATAGGGGAAGGACCAGGGACTCCTTTGACTTTTGCCCCAATGGGAACTTTGGGGAACTTTTGACCACAGGAAAGTGGCTGATGATAAGTCAACCTTTTGCATGTGTGGTAATTCCTAAGTTTGCCTGCACATGTGGGGCAACCTGGGAAATGGAGGCAGCGTAGAGGGCTGGGCCATCCCTCTGTGCAGAACTTCCCATGCCATCTGCTTATCAGTTTGTCCTCAGCCTCTGACTTCATCAGATGATTATCTCCCAAAGAAGTGACCAGAGCCATGGACCAATTAACTAATGTAAGAAGCGCGTATTAAAGGATTAATGTTGACCTAGTTAGAGACTTGATACTTGCCTGACATGATCTTAGAAGTGACAGTGAAGGAGGGGATGACCAGGGGCTGGAAAATAACCTTCAGTCCTGTGTGCTGAGGACCCGCAAATGGATTGTTTCCCCTGCTCTCTTCCCTTTGAGGCCCTTTCAGGAAAGTCAAAGGCAAGCTGACATCTGATGCCAGTAGCTCACAGTAATGCCTTCATTTTTCTAGAGTCAGAAAATGACGGGAGTTTAAACTGTCTAGTCCAATTTCTGTTCTGTACTGGATTCCTGCTACGTGGCTCTGTATCCTTGCAATGGCAGAGAGCTCATTACTCCATGAAACAACCACACCCACCCTGGGGGGCTCTGACTGTTGCAACATTCTCCTCTTTCTTGTACTGAGCTGAAGTCTGTCTCCCTTGAGGCCACGAAAGGCAACCTAGCCTCCTGTCCCATGAGTCAGTCCTGCCCCCAGTCTCTGTGCATTGGGGGTAAATGTGCTCCTGTTTATCTGTGTTCCTTGAACTGTGATGCTTGGGAATAAACCCCCAAAACTTACACTTCTGAGCTTGACAGTGTTCATCTGTAATTGCTCCAATCCTATGACATTCTGTGCAGCAGGGTGGTGGCCATAGCCCTGTTTTACCAATAGGTAGTATTTTGAGGCTCCATGAGGAGGTGTGCCTGGACCAGTCACATAACAAGTAGGAAGCAAAGCCAGGCTCTAACCCATGGCTCCTGAGCTGGTGGCATCTTCTCTATGCTGCCTCTACACAAGGAACCCTCTCCCTAATGTTTCATATATGCTTCAATAACACGGTCACCCTTCAGTGCAGGAGTCCACCTGGTGCTATGGAAGAAACAGGAATGGGCAAGACTACTTTCAACCAGGAGAATCAGGCAGTGCTTCCTGGAGGAGGCGGCAGTTGAGCTGAGCAGAGGCTGACAGAGAGTTAACTGGCCTGGTTACAGAGGAAGGACAGGAATGGGTGGACAGTGGCAGACTGACTAAGCTCCCCGTGTGACTCCCCTCGTGACCAGCTGAGACCCGAGCCCAAGCAGCCCCTCCAGGCATCCCTGACCTCAGCCCAGCGTGGGAGTAGGCAGTGCCTGGCATGCTCAGATCCTCTTTGTCCCATGCCGGGGCCGCACAGAGGTGGCACTCATGCTCCCCACACCCTCTTAACACTCACATTCCTGGTGGCCTCTGGTCTCAGAATGGGGCCCCCCACTAGGGCCCACTATGACCCCACCACAAAAGGCCTGGGTAGCCAGGGTGGCTGGAAACACCACACACCCAGCAACTCCTCAGACCCAGACAGAAGAACAAGTGTTCCCTCAGGGCTGGGGATCTGTTTTCTCTGT